ATTTACACCACTAATCTCTAAGTTAAAACTTTACCCTACTTTTATTTACCAATCTTACTATATCTAGTTACTATTGTATTATTTAACCCAAATTACTACAAATTATAATATTAAATAATTTTCAGAAATCTATAGGAGCTTAACCCTTAAACGTTTTCTTTCTATCGTAGCCCCCTCTATCGATCGGTAGTAGCTTTTCTGAGTAGAGAATTACATTTACAGTCACAGTCAGAATCCAAAGGATAAAGGGTATCCCATGATTTGGCGAATAAGATGATGTGAAGAGTGTTTGTGTCAACCGCTCCTAGATAAAGCAAAAATGCTCAATTAATGAAATATTTATTGTGTGTATTTTGCAGTAACATAAGTGGTTTCAATTAACTAAATAGAATACAATTGAACTGAATTGAGCTAAACTTGAGACTGGTAACGAATAAGAAAGGGTAAAAACTTGCAACATGTCATATTGATCGAATGAAACAGAGACAAAGATGATCTAGAAAGATGAAATTTCTCCTCTTTAAGGCTGGTTAATATGTTTGTGAAGAAAGAAATCCCACATTACAAGAAGCTCTACAGCTTCTTAACCTTTGAGAATCAAGAAACACAGACTTTAAACTAATTAACCTTTTTCTTCATATGACAGTTGAACTAATACTGTTGTCCTACGATGTAGCAACATGGAGGTTATTTAGACCAACAATCCAGTTTGAGTGTAATAAAATTAACACTGTTGTCCTACACTGTAGCATTGTAAAGTTTATTCGAGCCATAGTTCACAAGGTAAATTTGTGGCAACTAAAACTTTTACTGAATACCATTGTCTTTACTTGTATTTTAAAGTCTTCCTTACATTGCTTTTTGTTCACTGTTAACAAAATGCAGACAATTTCGATGTTAAGTCATCTTCAGTATTGGTTCTGATACAACAGATTTATACATAGGTTTAAAAATATTAGGCAATGCAGTTCCAGTTTAGCTATCATAAATTCAGTTTATTTTTTAAAGATGTTTTGGCAGTTGACATACATTTTAATGGTAAAATTCAGTAAACAGGCTTTGGCAGAAAGTATTTGTCACAAAAAATATTTTCTAAATTTTTTTTCTAATCATCAAACTTTAGGGTTAAGTTGTTATTTGATAGCCGACTTTCTTGTCTAATACGTAAACTAGTGCGGCTCAATGTGTAATTTAGTGTAGGAGTATCAATAATATGAAATATATATATATATAATTTGGTAAAATATGTTTTGTTTACTGTTTTTAATATTAATTATATTTACTTAACATGAAAAATATTTGACTGGACTTCTTAGCCAAATAATCCGCCATCTCATTATGTTTCACTTGGTATATTTAAAACGACCAGATGAACGACAATAGGACATTCTGTAAATCAAATTTATCTTCGCAGTCGCGTTTGCTATGTGAAGGAAAGTGTTACACCACAAATATTCAAGAAATGATAATAAATGAATAAAAAACCAGAATTAACTGATGTAGGTAAATAATCACCCACTAAAATAATTATTTAGATTTGAATATCAATATAGGAAGCAAATGAATAGCTCGTAATTAAGTACTGTAGCTCAGCTTATCTTTTTTGATGAAGTAATGATGTAGTGTATTCGTGAACAACAGAAGTTGGTTGATAAGAGCAATCAACAGACAGAAAGAAACATTTAAATATATTTATCATTTTGGTGTGTGTAATGCTGACAAACATTATACAAGTACTTAAGTGAGTATTTACATCAAAAGGAAGGACTGCATTACAAACAGCAAGACCAAACCTATGATGAAATAAAACATATCAACCAAAACACTGCACAACAACAAAAGTCATCAGGATATAACGTGGAGTATAAGATGTGTCCTGGTTTTTGGAGGTGACTGCGGAAGTTTGCCACACCTAGTGGTGGGATACCCCTAGCAGTCTTAATCTCCATTCTCACGTGTAAAGAAAAAATAACAATAATAAGAGAGTAAATAAAATAAAGATACAAATGGCGAGAGCAAGATGTTGGTGTTTAAGCCCACAACGTTTCCCATTTATTTCATTTCACCATCACTGCCTGCAGAAAGTTACGAGAAGATGTCTGTTCTCAGAAAAAATGAAGTGAAAAAATAAGAAAACGAGAAAGAAAACCCTCTACTATTCAATAAGGGGTGGTAAGTTGGTGTTCTAGCCCTCATTATGGTAGTAAAAGCTCAAATTAATAGGGTAATATCAATAGCACAGCAGACAAATTATATTGTTACGTATCTGCTTGTTTGTTTGTTGCAAGTAGAAATTCTCTCCGAGGATCTTCAGCGATACAAGTCCTTTGTTGATTAAACCAGTTTATTCTTCCTCGATACAAACTTTTAGTACACAGGAGTTCCACAATCAGTACGTTTCTCGTCACTTTAAACTCAACAACTTTTATAATACACGCTATAAATCACAGCGATTCACAATCTCAATAACTTAGCTCTCGACGAGTGATAAACACACACTTTACAGCTCACTAGCTCGGAACTCAATATAACTACTGCTCTCTCTTCATTCATCTCCACTGGCTTTCTCTGCCAGGCTTATATACTAACGAAGAGGGCATCTCGAACATACTCGGACTTACCCGATCATTCGAGAAACTCATCACGCCAGCAGCGTCACGTGATTTCCGCTGTCGTAACAATATTATAATAAAATAACTGCCGAGTTGACAAATTTTAAGCATAATATATTTAATTCTTACTTCTTGATATTTGTTACAAAATGTTTTAATAAATGTATTTAATATTTGTTTATTAGATTTATTAAGTATTAATTTTTGTATCAATATTTTAACATCAGCAGTAAAATATTGTAATATGTTACATATTCTACAGTATCTTAATTGTTGTGAATTTGTATAATAGAAGAATATGGAGCATTAACGTAAGGAAAGGGAAGCTGTATGGAGTAAAAAAAATTATTAAAATATTTAAATCGATATCATTATTGTTTTAATTTTCACATCTAAATAACGTGCTTCTAATGCAAAAATTGAACCATTAATGATTTCTTATTCTACTAGGTAAATAGTGTTAATAAAATTAATTATTTCTGGATTACCTATACTAATTAAGTTATAAATATATCTATAAGTTATGGCAAAACTATCTGGATTTGTAGTTTTCAATAGATTTATTTTCATGAAAATAAAGATAAAAATCAATTATACAAGTAGAACACTTAGTTCCCATTGGAACTCCTATTACTAGTTTAAATTTCCGATAATTGAAAAAAATATATTTGTTATAATATATGTCAATGACACAACGCTAGAATCCGGATTTCGATACCCGTGGTGGGCAGAACATAGATAGCCCATTGTGTAGCTTTGTGCTTAAATACAAACAAACGAATTACATGTTAAGAGCTAAAATTTATTTCTTCAAGCAATATAAAAGGATTACAATACTGTTCTATTAATAGAACCGAAGTTAAATATTTCATAGGAAATGTTATGCTTCAGGTTAACTTTTCCACAATAAAAAATTGGTGGTCGTTAATAATAGTTTTTACTGAGCTTGAAATAAATATAGATTTCGTAGCATATTTGTGTAATTTAGGTATATCATAGAGGAATCTGAAAGTTGATTTGATTTTGGAATAAAGTTTTTTATAAGATTTAATGAAATTATTAATTACTGTATCTTAGATTGGTTAACCAGTTTAAATATTTGTATACTATTAATTTTTTAATCATAAGTTGCAGATAAAAATTTCTTACAAATAAATCCGAAATTAGAATTAGCTTTATCTATGGGAACAACAAATATATTCTCTGTAAATGTTTGATCTTAATTTTAATTGATACACCGTTATATGTACAGTATATATATTTTAAATGTATCTGAAAAACTATAAATTTTACATTATCAAGTACATAAAACTTCCATTCTTAAAAACCATCTAGGTGGATAATATTTAATATAATTAAGTTTCAAAATATACTCGTTAATGTAGTTTACAATTTTAATTTAGAATATCTTGGTTATTACATTTCGTAGAAATTATGTATTTAAATTCTTTTTTAAGAATTCAATGAATAGTTTATTTTCTATAATTTCTAAATTAAAAGTAATTAGATGTTTATAAAAATGTGTCAATAAATATATTACTTTTATGTTCACATGATGAAATATTCATTTAATCTACATCCAAATTATTCAGTAAACACTTATAAATATATAAAAGTGGTCCAATTAGAATTTTATATTGATATCTAATAGTAGGTTTCAAGGTTTTACAAGGAAAATGCCTTTTTATAGACTGATGAATAATACAAGAAATATTTTATGTTTTAAAATTATTAACCAAATATAAAGTATTTAGCTGTAGGTATATATTTCTGAAACTTGACAGATTATTAAATTTTAATTTATATTTCATTATATTTAAAAGCAAATGTTTTACATTATCATTTTGGAAATTAAATTTGTTAACTATTTTGATTAATGCCTGTATTTTAGGAAGATTTATATTTATATTTCAGAAAATTAATTTACGTACATTAGTTATAGAATATAAAATATTATCTACTTTATATTTACAAATATTTAAAAAATCAATCTATTTTATTCTATTTTTCTGTTTACCTCTTGCATTTTTATTTTTATTAGAAAATTTATTTAAAATTATTAATAGCAACACAGTCACACGAAGCCTGAACTTTTGATTATTAATGACATTATTCCTACTAGAACATGTTCTGAGTTTGCGAAGAGTAATTTTTCTTAAGATGTGATTTATAATTATTTATGCTATTAGAGTATTTAAAATGTAGCAACATAAAAATATTCTAGATTTAAAAATTGAAATTTGTAGAAACTGACCTCATATTGAAGTTAGCTAAATAATTAAATGATAGAAATATTTTCATACTTTTCCAGTAATGCTTTAACAGAAAATATGACATTTTAAATACTTTTTTTTTTACTAAAAAGTGTTTCAAGTTACTCTTACATGTTTAAGGAATAAATGTGAGTTATTGATATGTTTTTTCTTTAAATTCTTATTCAACGTCGTTAAAACTTAATTTATTTTTGTGCTCATATTCGACATAATAATAACTGGTATATGTGCAGATAAAACTACACTGAGAACTTTAATACCATATTGTACAAATAGATGTCACTGCAGAATATATTATGCTACCTTTCTGCTTTTCAACACACTGCCAATAATTTCGTCAATGAAAAGAAAAATTAATTATTTGTTAACTAGAAGAGAGAAAGTACTTTTAAATGTTTACCTGTTATCAAAGATGAGTATTTCACTTTGATTTAACTATTTTATTGTTACTGGTTTCTATTAGAAATTTTACTCGAGTAGCATCTGTTACTACACTAATTGATGTTGCTACACGCTTTGTGCTCCACTACAATTAAAACAAAACATCCAACTAGCTGTGATTTATTTTGGTTGAATGTAGCATTCTTTGTAAACTCACCGTCTAGTGCTGGGTTATATTTAGGTTTATCCTTCTGTATTTTTTACGCCTTTACATGAGTAAAATCACTTAAACTACTCACCTTTTTGAGAATGAAATTGGCGAGTAAAATATTTTGGTATTTAACAAGTAAATTTTTTTATATTAAAATCCGTCCCTCGACAGGGGAAGAAGTCACTTAGGAGTAGTGCAAGAGTTGACAAATTCGCATGCCTTTTGTAAATTTTTTGCTATATTCGTTGCTGCAGCTCCTTAACGGCTTCATTATCTTTCCTGATGAAGTAACGTTGTAATGGATTCACAAGCAAGTGTAGGGGGTTAACAAAAGCAATCACAAGGCAGAAGAACTCAAATATATTCACCTAGAAAAAATATATAGGTCATAAGTAAAATTCACAAACATTTTTTTAATTACCAATTAAATTGTTTGGCAACATTAAAAACCAAATCTGAGAAAAAGAAATAACACCCGCTTTAACTATTTGTATACAAAACATTGTTTTCTTTGTATTACGCTTCATATTTTCATTAAAGAAACAATTTTCTAGCTATTATACGACTCATGTTCGCCTTTTCAGCCATAAGGGCGTTATAATATGACGGTCAATCTCACTTATTGTGGGTAAAGAGTAACAAAAGTCATTGGGAGGTGGTGTTGACTAACTGTCTTTTCTCTAGTCTATCACTTCAAATTTAGGAACGTCTAGTGAAGGAAGCCCTCGAGTAGCTTTGTGCTAAATTCACAACAAACAAACAAAATCTCATGATATATTATGAGGATTACGGCCGAAAATGTTGTTAACATCAAAAGAGTCAACTGATGAAACAATCTCTTCTAATATTCATATGTAATAATGTAAAATGGTATTTTTAATTAGCTATACTCATTATCAAGTTGATTTTTAGTTTTCGCTCTAAGTATGTAGTGTTCTCTGATCGGAAGTAAACATTAATATAATTATTTAATTGCTCCATCTCCGTATCCTAGTTAATTGCAACAACCTTCATGTTGCATTTTACTGAAAGTAACTGATGTGACAAAGCATCAAACTGAACTGAACTAAAAATATTCAGTACAACAGTCTTTATAACTCTTGCTCCAGAACTTAAAAAATAATAATAGGCATTTCAAACGCCAAAAATTTTTGTGCATACGTTTAACTTGTTTTGAATATATTATTTTAAAACAAGTGGAGTGTGTGCCGTCCGTTTATTGTTCAAATTTATCGCTAACAAGTCACAGACACCTACAGTAGAAGAATCCTTAGCCCACTCATATATACAAAACTCGTGACAGTTACATTACTATGCAATAAATATATTCGAAATTTCCAGTTAAAACTGCATTCAATAAAGTGCATCAAATTATACAATAAACTACACGACTTAACTGGTGCAATTTATATTTAGGCAATTTCACCACATAGTTAGGATATATATTCAGTACATATACCTTCCACTGTGGATAGTACAGTTGTATCTCAAACTTTAAATAGTTATATTTTTCTTGTCAAAAGTTCACTTAGGCTGATTCAAATACTTTAGAATCCAAAAAAAAATTCTCTACTTTTATCACAATAGTATCAGTGAAGAATTCACTTGCGTTACCTCGCGGGCTACCACAGTCTTACCCTGAACTTCTTTTCGTCAAAGTTCACACAGGCAGGTTCAATTACTTTAAAACACTCTTTGACAAGACAAATTATTCTCCTTATCTCTATTTAAATTGCGAAACTCATTTTAAAATATCACCCTTTACGGCAAATCACTAACATGCTGGATAACTTCACGTTTTCTAACTTTTCTCCAACTGAACTTTTCTTTCACTTCATTTCTACTAATTTGGTCCCCTGCTATTTATATTTTGATCACCGAGGCCTCTGGAATTTTCTCTAAGCTACGCGATGTGGTGATTTAACAATACTCAGTTAAGGTAATGACAAAAATCCTAAAGGTTTGAGTAATGTGATGTGAATAATAGTAGCTGGCGACAATATAATTGTAAACACAATCTAGGAGTTACGTAACCAAACTTGTCATATTTTAAATTGATTAACATTTAACTCTCATGAAAAACTAAACAATCATTAAATATTAAATAATAATGCCTACACTAAACAGTCTTGAATATTCAACAATAACGTGGCTTTGTTTCTGTTCTGGCACTCCAATACTGAGTTTTAAAAGAACAAGTTATTTGTGAACTTAATACTCCTACTCGAGTGAGTGAGACTGAGGAAGTACCGAGGAGAATGTTGTTACAATTATTAAAATAAATATTAATTTGTTCCATTCATTGATCAAAGTACGTTAGAAAGTTACGTGGAGTTATGTCTGTACAGTCTCACTGATTCTACATGCGTGAAATATTACCTTGATCAATCATTAGCAAAATGATAGTTTATTCTTAATTTTGATGAAACTAATTACCTATACTTTAAGTAAAAAATTCACAGTATATTTATATATGAAATACTAGTGTAAAGTCCACTTTCCATCATATTTATGAAGCTCCCATT